TATACGGCGATGAGAGACATATATGAACATATCGGGGTCCATATTTTATTGACTAATCATTAAAGTAATTTTCTTTTTTTGTTGTATTATTTTTTATTTCGATATCAATGAGAAACATCTATAAAAGTTACATCTAAAAATAATTTAGCAAATGTTAAAATAATTTATTCAATTTCTTTTGTAGAAATATCGCATTGAAGATAATTATTGCAAAACAAATATTAAATACACAGAAGTAGGAAATATCGATGAAAAATATTACTATAGAGATAGCATCATAAATCTACAGACAATTTACAGAATCTTATTGAAATTGTACGTTATCGCATTTTATGTCTTATACAATAGAGATTCTATCAAATTAAAGTTATTTTGAAAACAATGAATAGCGACCAAAAATCTCATTAAACTAAAAAACTAATAATATACATTGGATAGCTGAAATTCGTTATATGTATTTTATTTGTTTTTTTTTTCACAATAAATTAGACGTGATGTAATGCAAGTTTTAAAATTGACGTATACAATCGTTACAATTACGGGATGTTTTCGACCGCGATTATGGACATCTTTATTTAAACGAACATTTTATAATATCTACAGTATACAAGTGTTTGGCATTTTATATGTATTTTTACTGTTGCAATTTATGGATATTGTTTTCAACATCGATAATACTGATGTATTCACCAACACTCTAAATCTAATGTTAACCATATCCGCTTCATGTTATAAAATGATTATCATGTGTTTAAATTACAATGACATTGTAGCATTAATTGATAATTAATTGATCTTATCGAAAATCTTATCGAAGAACCATTTAAATCATTAGATCCAGATGAGATGAAAATTTGACAATAATATGACAAGATGATACGATAATTTTAAATTGAATGATTTTTAATTCTTTATTGTTTTCTGCTAAATATTGATTTCTTTAATGAAATTTTATAGAAATGTAAAATTAAAAATATATAATTAAAAATGTATTGAAGATTTAATTTAATTTTATTTACTTTTATTTAGCAGAATTATTTAAAGAATTGCACATAAAAATTTGCAAATAATGTAATAATGTGAATTATATTTTTTAATCTACAATAAAGTAAAATTTAATTAACAGTATGTTAGTATTATGAAATAATATTTTATCTGTTATATTAAAGAATAAACATACTCAAATATTTTACTTCACAGTAAATATTAGAATAATACGGATATAATAAGATCTTTAATCATTTTTTAGGAACAACACATTAGGCTGCACAGGCTTAGTGGGATCATTTTGTTTCACCAACCTTTTAACTTCATTCTTCATTCACGTTAGATATAAACGGCTAAAGTAAAGAATGGCTACCATATGATTATTCATCTAATATATTAATATATGGTCTTACATACATACAACAAATGTTAGGTGGATATTATTGCGTTATTGTAAATGTCGCAATAGACTCTCCTGTGCGGATTTTTAATGCACATATGTTGTCAAATTGAAATCTTGGAAAGTCGCCTAAAGAAAATGTTGAGTAAACAAATTACTCTGAGTTACTGTATATGCCATCATAATCAAATTTTTGAATTATCATTTTAATAGAAAAATTAAATTTCATTAAGCATTACTGTTGCAGAGTATAGACAATAAATCTCCGATATTTTAAAATAACACAATTGTAGATATTTTTTTTATAAAGAAAGACTAAAATGTTTCAAAATATATTTTCATATAAATATTTTTAGTAGCATAAAGGATATCGAGCTAATGCTACTTTATGTCAAGTATGCTGAAATATATTGATCACTATGGTACCAAAGTGACAGCTACTATGAAAATAACATTTGCTCAGAAAAAAGAACAAATTGTGTAGTTTACAAAGTCAAAATCTATTGTTATACTGATATAATTTTCATTGTGTATTTAAGAAATCGCCAGTGAGCATATCTATTCACAAGACAGAGTCTCATCTATCATTAGAGCTTACATGTCCGCCAAATGGTTGGATATAACAAGACAATAGGAGTCAAGCACGGTAATTCTTGTACAAACCAATATGGTTAATAAAACAACTTTAATAATAATTTTAATCCTTACATGTTTTGGTTCGCTTTTGAGCCATTCTCAGAGACAATATAATGTAATTACAAAAAATTTGTAGGATCTAATTCATTTCAGTCACCTCCACCTATTAACGGAAACTACAATATAATATAAAAACAAACTCTAATAACAATCTAAAATGTATTAAAATTATTAAAAGATAAATTTGTCGGGAGCAAAAATTTGCTCCCAACGATTTATTGTAAAATAATAGAAGGTAGCTCATTAAAATTAATATACATTTTTTGTTATATACATTAAGATTAAATTATTAAAGATTCAATTTTGGTTTTGACGTCCATCTGGATTATAATTAATATCAGAGTTTTTTCCCTTCTTTTTTCTTTTTCTTTGTGATGTTTTAGATGTATTAAAAGTTATTCATTAATTTCAACACTGAATGATCAAAAACTGGTTTTTGACTAAATCGATAGAATTTGCGATGTGGTGAATTTTTGTTTTAGTGAACTACTTTCTATTATTTTACAATAAATTTTTACTCCCAACAAATTTACCTTTTAATAATGTTAATACGTTTTAGATTGTTATTAGAGTTTGTTTTTATATTATAGTTTCCCTTAAGATTAAATCCAACCATTTTGTATCATTAAGGAGTCTTTAGAAATTAATTTATATTTAGTAGTCCGTCATGATGTTACAGGTTTTCTATAATAAGTCATTACTTAACTTTTAAGTTTTAAATTATAAGAAACTGATCAATCATAGTCGATTATTTTTCTCACATTCGACTGTAATTGTAATTTTTAGGTCCAATCCAACGATCTGAAAAAGTTGTTTTCTAGAAGGCTTATCGTAAAAAGCCTCTTGAAGCAACTTTTCCAGATCCTTGGATTGGGCGAGAGGCCTTATACATTCATTCCCTAGCAATCTCGTTCCTCATGCAATCATTTTTTCTGATATCTTCTTTTGAAAATGTATCAAAGACATACTTTATTCCACTAAAGGTCAAAACTGAATATTTTACATAACTGAATTGTAACCGCCATTAACGCTATAACATTATAATGTACTGTAGAACATTTGGCGTGAAGTAGAATACTCACTTGACATTCTCATGTAAAGTTATTGGTCGATTTTTAAGAGATATATATTCTGATATATTCTTTTTGAGATTGCAAAACTTCTAATTATTAATTAAAATTTTACATTCTAAAATTATATTAATAAGAATTATCAAGAAAGATCATATTTTATTTTATTATATACATTATACATTTAATATA